GTGAAGTGTGCAATGTCGAGGACGAGGAGGAGGACATTGGTGAAGTTATAAGGCATGTGGAGATGAGTGCCACGTGGACTGCGTGGAGAGACAATTTAACTCAAGAAATGTTCAACAGTTGGATGTCTTCGCAAAATTCGTAGTGTCATGTTATTCGAGTCTGTTTGTTGAATGTGTATGTCTGTGTTGATATCTTCTATTGCAAACAATTTGATCGGTTTACTTTGTTTCTGTTGTGACTGTACTGTAAACACTTGTAGCACCTGGTTTTTCTCTTCTGTTATGTTTTTGCTGTTGATGCTTTGTTGCATGTTAAATTGGAGTTGTTTAGTTATTATCTTTCATTTTGTGGCGTGCATATATTTTGTCAGCGCAATAGCTTTTACAATTTCTCTATTATTTTGTTCTGTTTCTCGATTTAAAATTTAGGGCTACTTTGCTGTGTTTTTGTCTAATGTGCTGCTGAAGTTTCTTTACAGAATGACAACTCAGATCCAAAAAACGAAAGTGGCGAAAAGAGTTTGAGTTTGGACGTACCAAACACCAACAGAAAAGGAAAAGGTGAAGCCAACAATATCATGACCAAAAGACAGTGGATGAAGGATGAAGATGCTCAGCTAGTTGATTGTCTTGTAATACTGAAGCAAAGCAATCAGTGGGGTGCAGATAATAGGACATTTAAAGTTGGGTTTCTGTCCCAACTGGAAAAAATGCTGCAAGAGAGGCTTCCTGGACATGGCCTTAAGGCAATTCCGCACATTGATTCGAGGTATAAGTTACTGAAGCGCCAGTACCATGCATTCAATGAGATGATAAAAAATGGCAGTGGATTCAGATGGAATGATGCGGAGAAGTGCGTTACCGCAACCAAAGATGTATTTGATGAATGGGTTAAAGTAAGTGCTTATTATTGGTGAAATTGTTTACATGTTTAATTTTTAAAAAACTTTCATTTCTCTATCTTTTTATTTATTTATGTATTTTAATTTTTTGTGTAGAGTCATCCTACTACGAGGTAAGATGATTTTGGTTAGTTAATGTTTGTATTTATGTGTTCATTCCCATTGTATTATGGTTAGTTAATGTTTGCTGATTTTTATAAATGCAAGATAATTTTCAATTCTATTGATGGGGGTGCTAATATTGTGCATTTCTGCATATGCAGGGGTCACTGGAGTTTGCTGATCTTATGCAACTTTGGGGAAGGAGCGCGATCAGAACCCAACATAAGCTGCATGTTATTGTTGGACTCACTTCGGTCGGCTAACCTAAGGAGTTTTCAGCCTCTGATAAGAAAGTAAGGTCTTCAAACAATTTTCAAGATCCTACTCCACATTTTTCACTTGTGCTGGAGTCTGTGGCCAATAATGCGACTAATTTTATTTCCACAACTTGTTCCACAAGTTTGCCCTCGATATCACTGCTGCTAAAACAACGATAGAAAAGACTAACCAAGTGGCTGATTTACCTCTCATGGTGCCTGATGTGTGTGGGGTTACACCCATAGGGTCACATTTTGGATTTTTGTTGTCATTTGTGTGTATGCTCACTAAGTGACTGAATGTTATGTGTGTCTAGGTGCCCCAACAAAGGAACCCAACTGATTGCGGCTATTTTGTGCTTTATTATATATATAAGTTTCTCGAACGTGCACCAGCGAAATTTTCCCTAACCGAAAGGTACCCGTACTTTGTAAGTGTTTCCATTGTCAATCATAATTTTTTACATCATTTTCCATCAAGATACAACTGGTTATTTATTATGTCGTTGTGTAACTCGTGAACCACCACAAATGAAAGAGGATTGGTTTGGGGAGGATGATGTCAAATCTTTTCGTGAGAAACTGTTGTTGGACGTCGCATAAAGTGAGGCAGTGGTAAACTTTTGCTGTTGTAATTGCCGATTGAATATAATATGGACTATGTCACCATTGATCATGACCTACCATATCATGGTCATGAATTGTGTTTCCATCACTAACAAGTATGATTTTTTGACTTGTACAGGACTGTGAAAATAACACAAAAGGTTAAAGCTACGAGTAACGTGCATTCGGCTGAATTGTTTTATTGTAAATTATGTGTTTCCGTAACTGTTGTACAAAAAGCAATTCATGTGTTACAAAATATAGTTTGAAAACAATTCAACATTGTGATCAAGGCACAATTGAAAAATAAATGTTACAAAATTTCTATTGAAATATCTATTACATACGAATGTTTGTTTCAAACTGCTAAATTACAATAGTTTCATCAGATGTATGGATGGTGGGATGTGTTTCGATATGGGCTGAAGGGGGTGTGGATTATGGATTTTGCTTCTGTGTTTGGAGAATTTTGGTGGGACTGAGTGCATTTCAATGTCTGGTATGTTGTTGTGAGAGGAATGGGTTTTCTGTTGTTTCTGGGTTGTTGTTTTGTGTTCTCTTTGGTTGTAGTTTTTAGTTGTGCAACAGGTTTTTTACTGCAGGATATGGTTTGCATGTTTGATGCATTGGGTGACGGTGTTATGGAGGAATGAGACATGATCGTATGGCGACTGGGCAGGGGTCTTTAGAGCCTACACTACATGTTTGAGCTGTAAGTTGTGTATGTTGGTTTAGCAGTTGGTGGGTCTTGCTATTGGGCTTGAGGTGGATGTCTGTTTCGGTTTGTAATGGTGTGTTTAGGGTGACAAATGCCAGTATTGCAGTGTACATTGTTGCTGCTGTGTTTGTTATGTGTATGTTTCAAATTTCTTTGTGCGGCTTAGGAAAAAAGGGTCATTGGTCATTTCCCACAAGACGATATTACTTTGTAAAAGAAGTAGTTAACCAAAATAAAAAATGAAAATTGTTTGCAATGGTTATATTTTGTTACATAATTTAGGCAAAAACTTAGAAAAGATTCGCCCAACTCTTAAACTTTGAAGGGACAAGTATAGAAACTAATTGCAAATGGGCAAAATTATACCTCTTCAACCAAACAAAGCTATAATTGATTCCGTTACATCAGAACTAGTAAGGGTATTTTTGTAAAATAATCTTACGTAATATTAAATTACTGTCAACCAAACACTATTATCAATTATAAATCCCCTACAAACCGAACACAAAAATATTTTATACCTCGTAATCTTCGAGGTAATCTACCTTTCCATTAATATAATATTCTAGAGTAATATAATATTCCTTGAACCAAACGCTATCTCAAGGTAATCTAACTTTCCAGTAATCTAATATTTTCAATAATCCAACATTCCCTAAACCATATGCACCCTAGAGTAAACGACTTTTCCCCACCCAAATAATATCTTCATAACACTTTATCACCCATAGACTTTTAAAATATCATTTTACTATCGAAATTTATATTCCGTTTCTAATTCTGGCATTGTTGCGATCCCACACTACCACCATTTTCTTCCTCGATCATTACTCACTAAAACCCCTCAAACCCTTCTCTTGCCAATCTTGCCAATCGTCAGTAATCGAGCGATTAGGGTTTGTGTAGCCGCCCCTCTCAAATCAAATTTCGATCAATCCCAACCATTAAATCCCAACCTTCCACTATCAAAAGACTAATCGGTCTTCCCTCTTCAAAAGCCTCAGCTTGGACTGAATTTACTCTTTGTTCGCAGTCAGAATATAAATTTAAGGGGGCGTTTGGTTGGGGGTTATGTGAGATTACTGGGATTAAATCATCTTATATTACTTGATTACCATATTTGGTTGTCAAGTAATATAAGATACCGGTAATCTTCAAATACCAATAGTTGTTACTATTGGTAATATTTTCTTATGTATTCTAAGATTACTAATGTTATCTTTTTTTTTATTACAATTCTATCCCTTATTAATAAAATTTTAGGACAATAATACCCTTACTTTTAAATTTATTTACATAAATATGGTTTTTACTATTCCATCTCAATTAATTAACTTTTGGATAAAATTACCCTTGAATTCAAAATAAATTGCAGCCCATCCAAGCCACCATCCCCACTCACTTGCCGCCGCCTGTCGTTGGTAACCACCGCCGCTGGAATGGCACACGGAAGGCTGAAAATGGCCACCGTGCGTCGATATGGCCATTTTTGGCCAGATATCTAGCCGTTAAAGGCCAAATCCATCGATCTGGCTGTCAATGGTCATCGATCTGGTCGTTGACGGCCAAATCTGTCATGTCTGGCCAGATCTTTGGTCAGAAATGGACATACAACGCAGGGAGGCCATTTCCTGCGTTCCATGAGCCGTTAGGTTGCCATCGGTCTACAGTGGTTGCCGGCGACCGGCAATGACTGGGTTGGTGGGGGTGCTTTGTTGATTTTCCAAGTTTTTATTATAGGGTTGTTTTTGCTAAGTTTTTAAATGCAGGGGGTTATAATAATCAATATTAAAAAATAATTTAATAATGATATTTAATTAGAGGACAATTCAATAATTTAAATAACATATCCACCAATTTATTCCTTCAACCAAACATATTAATATAAAATACTCACCAATTGACCAAATACATTTTCTTAAAGATTCCCAGTTATTTTTAAGGTAATCTAACTTTCCAGTAATCCAATATTCCTTAAACCAAACGCCCCTTAAGTAGTAGAGTAGTATTTTAAAATTTTATAGATATAAAAGTACGTTAAACCATTATTTGGGTTGGAAAAAAGTAGTTAACTATAAAAAATGTTTATTTTATTTTATTTTTTTCACAAACTACCGGTAAATATTTTCTAGACCCCTAAAATAGAAAGATTTATCACAAATATAGATTTGTCCTTTTTACATCTAGAGATTATCATTTGTTGAGGCCCTATGATTAAATAATTCTTTGGAAAAAGAGTTGTCAATTCATTATAACAAACTATAGGGGTGTTTAAATAATTTTAAAAAAGAGGGGTAAATAAAATTACGATAACACTTCTCGAAGGAAGGGGGAAATTGATAGTTTTGCAAAAGTCCCTCGAAAAGGCTCGTTTAGAAAGTAGAACCGGACCATTTTTATCTCCTCTACTTGCACATCTAAGGCAAAAACCTTCTCTATGTAGGTGAGCAACCAATTGGTGTCAACGACGACAACGTTTTTCGTGTCGGATCTCCGACCAGGTAACCATTTCAATACTCTAATTTGAGTTCCAGGGTTTGCCTTTTCTTTTCTTAACCCTTGTTCCCTAGAGAAAGGTTTTCCTGGAAAAATCAGTGTTCCGGAAGATCATCTACATGTTAAGACAAATTCGCGTCGTGATTTTGTGTTTTGTTTGTGGAAAACACAGTTTCAAAGCTCAATGTGGTTATTTCGGACTTTAATGGTCTAGTTGTTGGAACCCTAACCTGTACGCATGTATGCAGAGGCGTGTATTACAGTGGTGGTTTTGTATGAGATATGTGGCAAATTTAGCTATTTATACTGTTTTTAGGGCTTGTAGGTTAAATTAAGAAATGAATTATAAATGTTATTTAAGTTTGTGGTGAAGTAGATATTGACAAATTCGTTGATTTCCTGATCACTTCAATTGATGATTTTCTATTTTCAACTTTTAATAAATGCGTTAGAATCTTCTTGTGAGAAGTTGAATAATGGTAATTTAGATTGGAAAATCATATTCCTGGCGCCTTATAAGAAGTTTTGGATATGTACATAGAGTGATTCTGGAGAATTATCATAATTATATTTTTTGCTGTTGAATGCTTATTCTGTCCTGCAGCATCTGTTAGGTATGTATGGTGATGATTAGATATATCAGATAGTCGTGATGGGTGTGCATTTACAATACTAAGTTATAATTAATTCAGGTGGATTGAATTCTAATGCACAATGGATTAATTTTTTTGTTTTCTTTTGCTCTGCTGAACTGTAGTTGAAATGAGATGGCGTCTTCACACAATGTCGAGTTGGAAGCAGCAAAGTTTTTGCACAAGCTCATTCAAGATTCTAAAGATGAGCCTGCAAAATTGGCTACAAAACTTTACGTGGTTAGTTTTTTTTTTTTTTTTTTTAGTTTATGTTTTATCTCATTAGATATTCTTGATTGTGCTAGTCGCTTATAATTTGTACGTCACCATGTATTTATAATAAAATTTGATTGCTTCAGATATTGCAACATATGAAATCAAGTGGGAAGGAGCATTCAATGCCATATCAAGTTATATCAAGGTGCGACATTTCAATATAACTGTTAGTCTATCTATTTTAATTTGTTTTCTTGTTTTATGTTCAAAATGCCTTTTTAGGTTGATTAGGAAATTTGTTAATTGACCAATAAATTATAGACAGAGTGGAAAATTTGGAGATGCTGTTGTTCTTGCATTTTAACTGCTTTTGGATTTAATAAGTCCTGCAGATATTCAATTTAAGTAGATAAATTTGGTTGAGTACATTTGGTTGAGTACATTGGGAGACTAGAGGGTTGCATTCTGTTTTCCTTTGAAATTAAAGTATGAGACTTTATTGGCCAGATTTAGGTGGTGATGCCTTAGTTTGAGGCATTTCGACAAGCTCTTGTTGTATTATGGAAAATAAAATATTATTTGGGATCAAATATGGCTTGAGTGAATTAGGGGGTCCATGAACATGAATGATGATGATATTCTCTTTTAAAGGTTGGAAATCTTTTTTTTTTTCCTTCCCCCAGTGGACTAGAACTTGGTTTCCGTATTACCTATGCAAACATATTTTTCAGATGAATAATGAAACTTCCAGACATATGCTTGGAGGTTTGAGACTGTTCTATGTATCAATGGATTTTTCTTCTTTAATAGTTCGGTAGTTTAGCTCAAAATTGGAAGGATTGCATAGCAGCTGTGTGTCTGCAGATTTAATTTATATGATTTGCACACCACTTGCCTTGCAGTCTTGTTTAACTTCTTGTTTGTCTTCATGCACACTTTTATCAGCGTCTTGTCCCCCATTCTTTCACTTCTTTTAGTGTTGGCTTATTCATGCTTGAAGAGATCGCAACTTTTTAGCCAAAGAACCTATTGTCTATTTTTGGCAAATTATTAACATGGATCATCCTTGCTGGTTCTTCCTCTGATGCTATTTCCTTTTCTAGGGCGATGGAGACAGTTATCAATCAGAATGGTCTTGATATTGAAGCTTTGAAGTCATCACGTCTTCCTTTGACCAGTGGGACTCAAATGGGGGATTCTTCAACAGCTCAATGTGCAGGTAAAAGCTTTTAGTTAGATTGCTGTTAGATGACTAGCAGTTCAATTTTTAGAATCTCTCCTGGAAGTTTCTTGTAATATTGGATCATTGAAATGGGAAAACTATTTTTCAGGATCTTCTTCACAGGTGGTTGGAGTTGCGAAAGATCCCAAAATGGGCTTGACTGAAAATGAAATGTCTAAAATTGACCCATTTACTTCTAGTAGGCCGCCTGTGGGCCCTAATACTGCAGGACACGATTATTATCAAGCATCTGGAACTCATAGAAGTAGTCAGTCTTTTGATCACGAAAGTCCATCTAGTTTGGACACTAGGTCTGCCAACTCACAATCACAAGAAAGGCAAAAAGATGGTAAAAAGGCTGCAACTAAGAGGAAGAGGGGTGATTCATCAATTCCAGTGGAATCACAAAATGAGAACCCCCAGCAACATGATTCCCGGAACCCTGTGGTTAATGCAAGGAGGGGCAAGATGAATAAGGTTGAATCACCTGGGGGTTTTTCAGTTAAAGGTGGTGAGCTTTCTAACTTTAACATGATTCCAAGTGGTGGTCAAATGGAACATTTTTCATCTTTGTCTGGCAACATGAGTTCAGTACTTAGAGTCAAACAAGAGGGTCAAAATGTTACTGAAAAGCCAATGGATTCAGCTAACATTAGTAATTCACTTTCGAGGGCTTCGGCTTCAAAATTCCCTGAAGAGGTGGAAGTTTCCTCTTCTCATAACACTTCAGGACAGCAGCAAGGGAGTTCCCTTCCTTCTACAAATGACATTCTTGCTTCTAGGGGTGTATGGAATAGAGCAGGATTTCCGTTTGAAAGATCTCATGTTCCCAAGTTTTCTTCAAATGTTGTTCCCAGTAACATGATGTCAGAATCTGCAATGCAACATCCAACAGTATCATCTCTTGGAGGAAGTAAGGATTTGACAAATATTGTAAAATTAGAGTATTGGATTTTCTTTGTTTTTCACTCTTAATTTTTTTCTTTTTCTTTGATTCTTTTTTTTTTCTTTTTTTTTTTTTAAAAAAGACTATGGTATTTAGTTTGTTGGTATTGGCTGAAAACTGTGCAGTTTTTTTTACTTTTTTATTTCAACTAGGGGTTGAGTCTTTACTGAAAAGATTAGGCACCGTGCATGTTTAAGATTCTTTTCCTGATGTATTTTTTATATTTATTTTTGATTTTGTCTTTGATGATTATTTTCTTTCCAATTTAGAAGCTGTTATGATTGAGGTTTGAACATCTGAATATCTCCTTGGCTGTGAATAATAATCTTCTACATGGTGTTGCTGAAAATTCAGGTGCTTTTGGCAAGGTTCATGGAGGGTTACCTGTTGGTCCAAGTTCATTCCCAGCAGGAGAATTGGGCTCCTCAATGCTTAACCCAGCAGAAGCCCAATTGTCTAATAATCAAGGGGATGAAACATCTATGGCGCATCCTAGTGGAAAGGTTATGGAGCATGATGGAAGTCCAAATACATTAACAGATTCAAATAGGGTTGTTCAGGTATTTGCTTTTACCTTTATATGATTAGTCTGATTTAGGTGGGTTTTTTTATTTATTTTTTAATTTTTAATTTTTTATCTGAAAACTGAATAGAACTTAATTGGTTTAAAATTTGATATATAATCCGAATGTATGTTTGTTCTTTTATTTTTTATGGTGTGATTAAAAGTATAAGTTGTTTGTTTTTGCAAACAAAAAGATCTAAACATTTTGACATTTGGACATATATGCCCATTTGATATTGAATAATTATTATTTAAATAAATTTATTTAATATTATTTAAATAGTGTCTTAAGTTTTTAAACTTAAAATCAAAGATAAATATCTAGTTGAATTAAAATGCTTGATCAAAAAGTTAATCTGATAAAAAATGCGGAGACTTGAAAGTAAAAAAATATTGACATATTAAAAGAAAGTGTTAAAAAGGTTTATTTAAATGGGCATATGTGTAATTATTGATATTAAATGAGGATAATATTGTCAAAACTATTAAAGTAAACTATTAAGAAATTTAAGTGAAAATTCAAAAATTTGAGTGAAAAGTCAAAACTTTGAGTTTTTCAACTGACATAATTTTAGCTAAAAAGTCATGATTAAATTGAAAAACAAACACCTTAATAATTTCAATTAGTAAAGTCATATATAAGTTAGAAAAACAAGCAGCCGCTTATTGTGTGGTTTTTTTCAGCACCAGTGGGATCCATGAAATGGGAGGTTTCTTAATGTTGTTGTCTTTAACTTTTGCATGATAAGAGATTCTTCTTTCTTCTGTTGCCAATTGTTTGTTTTTTTTAATTTTTTTTCTTTCTTGCTTCTTTATCCCCTCATTTTTCTTTCAACTTTCTTTAGGGAGCTCATAATTGTTTAGGGTTTGTTTGTTTAGTTATTTGGGGTAGTATTTGAAATATTATTGTTAGGTAGAGTTGGGTGGTTATACCGAGGTAGAATTTGAAAATTAAAAATAGTTGAATAATTTAGGATAGGGGTTTGAGAATTGGAAAACAAATATGCATTTTGATTCGGAATAGGAATATGATAGGGAACAAACGTGTTTGTTTAGTTATTTGGAGTAGTATTTTTGAATTATTATTGTTAGGTAGAGTTGGGTGGTTATTACGAGGTATGATTTGAAAATTAAAAATAGTTGAATAATTTAGGATAGGATTTTGAGAATAGGGAAACAAATATGCATTTTGATTTGGAATACGAATAGGATAGGGAAACAAACGCACCCTTAGTCATTGTGTATATATTTTCATTTGATTGCATGTGATGTTTAAATTGGTCAAACACGTATACAGTAAGACAACTAGAATAACTTATTCTGAAGGATATATGTGTTTGAAAGGGGTGTTTTTGTCTCCCTAAAACTGTATGTTTTAGATAAAACTTTGAAAGCTAGTTGCTAGGGGTCTAGTTGCATCCTTTTGTCCATAGGTATGGGGCGAAGTCGTGAAGGGTGTGTGGGAATTATTTTCAAAGTTAAGTAGGCTAGGAAATCCAGTTTTACAGCAGTTCACTGGAGAAATAGTGCTGGGTTTGTGGGTACGTACATTTTTTTTTATGGGAAAGTGGTGACTTGACTATTTATGAATTTGTAGCACTTCTTTTTTCACCTTTTATTTGTATGCAACCAAGGAATTAGGTGGCTGTTTGTCGCATTACATATTTACTTGCTGTCTTCCTGTATCTATTTTTTGGTGTATTTAGGAACCTAATTTTGATCGTCACTGTCTATTCTCCTGATTGAAATTTGGAGGTTATTGAGTTTAGCTATTTGTGATTAGAATAGATGAGATGACCTGGAATGTGGAACTCGCATTTATCCTCATCAAAGTTGTGCTTGTCAATAACTATGGTAATAGGGTGTCATTTTAGCTCCTTGGAAGTTACTTTAATGTTTTAGAGTTCTTTGTTGCATTCCTTTTGTTGTTGCAAGAGCAAAAAAGAACTAGAGTGGTGGATTCTTCCAAGAGCAACCATTTCTTGCTAGCTTAAATTTATCAAGTTTTGCATGCGACAATATTTGTAATTTGCTCCTTTAGAACTTCCATCTAAAATTTTTCATATCTGTCGCTATATATAATGCTTTCATTTCAACAGGTTGGCCGCCAAAATAGCATTTCAGGTACAACTATGCTTAGAACCACACCTTCTAGAGATACAGGTAAATCTTCTATTTCCCAGGCCCCTGCATTCTCTAACATACCTTTTAAGGAACAACAGCTGAAGCAACTCCGAGCCCAGTGCCTTGTCTTTTTAGCTTTCAGGTAGATGGCATTCCACTAGCATTTTCTTAGAGCTTTTAATAATGCGAATTATGCAGTCCAATGTTGTTCAAGTTGGTTTTAACAAGTTCTTATATGCAGAAATGGTTTGATGCCAAAGAAACTGCATCTTGAAATTGCACTTGGAAACGTCTTTCCAAAAGAAGGTAACTAATCTTGACGCACATACGAACTCAAATCTTAGTCTTCATTGATTTAATTGGTGAAAATCAGGTGGCAATGTAGATGTTTCACGCAAGGAGCTCATGGACCACCATGCAGCAAAACCACAATCGTTGAATGATCAAAGTAGCATTCCTGGAGTTGTGGCACCATTTGGAAGGCTTAGTAATGCCAGGGAAACTGATCGAATCCCTTCAGGTGCTTCATCTTCTGGAAGAATCCTGGAGGTTGACTCCTTGTCCAGGGAGGCTGAGAACTCAAAATTGATGGAGGACAAAAGTGGCTTACCTCCTGATCACTTTGTACTTGCTGAAGGGAAACAACTACTAGCTACAAGAAAAACAGAGGCTGAAATGCAGAATCAAGACAACCTGGAATCTCAGACATTTTTAGCAACTACATCACAGCAGCCTGAATATGTGAGTACAAGGGGCAGTTTAGCAATTAGTAACTCTGTGGATGACATGGAAAATGGCCATCTGTTGGTTGGTCGGGCTAACGTTGCCTCTTCTGTAATGGTAAATAAACAGATGAACTCTGAGATGAATAGCTGGACTGGTATTGGCAGTCAGAATGAGGTTTCAAGAAGACCCCTACCAGCCTCTGGTGTTCAGTATGAATTGGGGCCAGAAAGAAAAGACAATGCTCCTACTCAGTTTCAAAGTGTTGTTAACAGTGGTCTTTCAGGATATCAACACGCTGATGGTCACTTGTCTTCTTTGTCAATGAGGGAGCAGTGGAAACCAGTTTCAGGAACTAACAATGATCATCGTGCAATCATTTCAATGAAGGATGCTAGTTTGATGCCAAAACATGTGTCTCAGGGTGAGAACCATACCTTAAATCAAACTGTAATATATTAACAGCTTTTGTGATGCTCATGGTGCTTATCATAGTTGTTTGCAGATGATTCAAAGTTTTCAGATGGGAACAAAGCACTTCCAGTTGATAACTCATTTAGAAATGGCATTGCTTTCACGGCAGAGAATAGTGAGGAAGATAAGTCACTGCATTCTAATATGCCACCTGCTCCGAAGTATACCATGTCAGAGAAATGGATTATGGATATGCAGAGAAGGAAACTATTGGCTGAGCAAAGTTGGATAGTAAAGCAGCAAAAAACAAAGCAAAAAATTTCTGCTTGTTATGATAAGTTAAAGGTTTGTCAATATTTTAACTTTGTCCTTTCATCTTAGTTTTATCCTTGGTGGAATTAGGATCCTTATGTAATGGACTGCACCAGCCTCATGATTGATTTAATTGAGTTTTATTCCTTTGTTTTTCAAGAGTGGGATGTGGGACTAAAAGCTGCTGCTGTCTTATCTTAATTTTTTTTAGTTTTATCCTTTTTGTCATTAAGTAACCCTGTGTAATGAATTGCACCAGCCTTAAATTGATTTAATTGGGTTTAATTCCTTTGTTTTCTGAGAGAGGGATTTGGCTTAAAAATTGCTATGTTGGTGACAGATATTAGATTAAGGTTAATATCTAAAATATTTGATCATGGGACATAGAAATAAGAAGTTTTTAGAACTGTTTATATTGTCCAGTGTCCGTGAGAGCCAGAGAGGTTTTACATTTGTGATCCGAGGAAATGTCTCTGCAGATCTTGATATACAATGATATATGAGGTTGTACTGATCTTATTGTATGAGAAGCTCACTCAGCTAGGAAATCATCATAAGTCAGATGAAATTTCCCAATCCTTTATTTTTATAGTTTATGGGGGGAAAGATAGATTTTTTTTTTTTTAATTTTTAATTTTTAATTTTTTGTGTGTGTGTGTGTAGTTTTTGGTATGTTTTCTTAGGGGGAGGTTTATTTGCACTGGTGCATTTCTGATCTAATCTTTTATCTCTCTTTTTTACTTCCATTAATGCAATTTTCTTTAGTTTCGTATCAAGAATTGTGCATAAAAATATGTGCATATAATTGGAGCAATCAGCAGTTTTTTGTGGTTCTGTCCAATGGTTCATGTAGCTAAGATTATCTTTCTTTATTTTTTCCCTATGATTCATGTTGGAACTCACGCTTTCCTCAAACTTAGTGGTATTTCCAGTATTTAATGTTCCTCTTAGTGCCTTGCAAGATACAATGAAGAAGATGCAAAGTTGCTTTTGCAGAATGTTCCATTTTAATGCTTTTACCATGCAGGAAAACGTGAGCTCATCTGAAGATATATCTGCCAAAACCAAAAGTGTCATAGAACTGAAGAAGCTGCAATTGTTGGGACTTCAACGTCGTCTCAGGAGGTAATTGGTCATCCTCTTGTTGTTTTGCAGCAGATACTTTGATTACTTTTGTTAAGATATATTAGGAAAATAGAGATATATTAGATTGACTTTCATGGTCAAAACTGTGGTTAATTTGGTTTCTTTTCTCATTATGTGGTTGTTACTTCTTTGGTTTGACATTTTATTTGTTTCATTTCGACAGCGATTTTCTAAACGATTTTTTTAAACCAGTTTCAACTGACATGGATCGGTTGAAATCATATAAGAAGCATAGACATGGTAGAAGGATAAAACAGCTCGAAAAACATGAGCAGAAAATGAAGGAAGAGAGACAAAAGAGAATTCGTGAGAGGCAGAAGGAGTTCTTCAGTGAGATAGAAGTCCACAAGTATGTATTTTCATGTCTGCCTACGTACTATAACTTTTCTCTTTTACCTTCTGACTAATTTTTGTAGATATCTGCATTCATTTCTTTGGAAATGGTGTGCATTTTAACTTAAGTGTTTACTCTTTTTGATATTCTTGATGGTTTGAATTATAGGGAGAGGCTTGATGATGTATTTAAAATTAAGAGAGAACGCTGGAGGGGTCTTAATAAATATGTTAAGGAGTTCCATAAAAGAAAGGAACGTATTCATCGTGAGAAGATTGACAGAATCCAGCGTGAGAAGATTAATTTATTGAAGATAAATGATGTGGAGGGATATCTGCGAATGGTGCAGGCATGATTTTGCTTACTATATCTTACTGATTTAAGGATTGGATTCTACTTTTTGTCTCTTTTATATCATGTTTTTTAATTATAATGATTAGGATGCCAAATCCGATCGGGTAAAGCAACTTCTCAAAGAGACTGAGAAATATCTTCAAAAGCTTGGATCCAAGCTGCAAGAGGCTAAGACTGTGGCAAGTCGTTTCGAACATGATATGGATGAAACAAGAGCTCCAATAATTGAAAAGTATGAGCCAGCTGTGGAAAATGAAGATGAAAGTGACCAAGCAAAGGCAAGTTGATTTTATCTGCGGCTTTTTCTTGTTTATTTTGATTCCTTTTGTCATTTTGTTATCTTTTATTTGCTTGCAGCATTACTTGGAAAGCAATGAGAAGTACTATTTGATGGCCCATAGGTATGAACAGTTTTTTTCTTAATCTTATTACTGAAAATAATGTCAGAGGGACTTCTTACTTCCCAAACGGCTGTGATAGTGCTTTTAATGTTACTTACTTATATATATATATATATTCTTTGGTGTTCATTTGGTGCTGTGGCTGAAGTTAGCCTTCTTTTATATTTTTCCTTTCTGAAAATTTCTATTTTTACCTTTGGAGTTTAGATGTAGTCTTTCTAAAATTGAAGCTTAAAATGGTTTAGGGTCATTGGAGATTCTTTCTTGATTAATTCTAAGCTATATTCTCTGCAAAATATCTTATTGTCAACATTATTTTATGCAGTGTTAAGGAGAGTATTTCAGAGCAGCCAAATTGTCTTCACGGTGGAAAACTGAGGGAGTGAGTAGAATTTATGTTTCTTTAATTCTATATTGTTTTCTACTTATTTTTCTCCTCTTTTATACTTTTCTTTACCTTACACATATACACTCACACACTAAATGGGTGTTGTGCAATGGTGTACTTCATTCTCTTATTTGGTTCTGAAATTCTGTTATTTTGGCTTGTTATTGTTATATAATTTTCATGCTTGTGTTATTTGAACTTCAGGTACCAGATGAATGGACTAAGGTGGTTGGTATCACTTTACAACAATCATTTGAATGGAATCTTAGCTGATGAAATGGGCCTTGGAAAAACTGTCCAGGTATGTCGATTCTGAGTTTGTTATAATCTGATTCCATTTTAATTTATAATTTTTGTTGCGCTGCAACACCTTTTGGTATTTGTTATGTTAACAATCTAATTAGGTGTGCTTTTGTAGGTTATTGCTCTAATTTGTTACCTTATGGAAACCAAAAATGATAGAGGACCCTTTTTAGTGGTTGTACCATCGTCAGTTCTACCTGGGTGGGACTCAGAAATCAACTTTTGGGCTCCTGGAATACTTAAGATTGTATATTCTGGGCCTCCAGAGGAGAGGCGTAAATTATTCAAGTAAGATTATGAGCATAAGGCTGACAGCCTTTTCTTATATGTTTTGCTGTATGTGTAACATAAGCTGTTATCTTATATTCCAGGGAAAAAATTGTGCATCAGAAATTCAATGTGCTTCTGACAACGTATGAGTATCTGATGAACAAGCACGATAGACCAAAACTTAGCAAGATACATTGGCATTATATTATAATTGATGAAGGCCACCGTATAAAAAATGCATCTTGCAAGTTGAATGCGGACTTGAAGCACTATCACAGTTCTCACAGATTGTTGTTAACTGGAACACCACTACAGGTGCAGATTGTCTCTTATCATGCTCTTATCCTGTCTCTTTGCTCCACAATTTTAGTCCATTTGAAAGATGAAAAATTTTAAGTGAGCCTACATTTAGGCATCTTCATATTTTTGTTTTCATTTCTGTCCCTTGTTATTGAATGATCTTCATCTCTGAATTCAAATTGTATTAAGGGAAATGATAGGATAGTTAAGAGAGAATATAGGTATACATGGACTCTTGAACTAGAAAAAATCTTTGGAATGGCCAAAACAGGAAACCTGGATGATAATTGTGGAAAACAAGTGTCATTATAACATATGAGAATTTTTATCTGTTTGTTCATGGGGTTGGTCTGTTCTCTGCTCTCTAATTGTCTTGGTCTCTAGTTGTTGGTTTGATGCAATTTACTAATTTGTTTTTTCCTCTTTGTAGAATAATCTTGAAGAACTTTGGGCATTACTCAACTTTTTGTTGCCGAATATATTCAATTCATCAGAAGATTTTTCCCAATGGTTCAACAAACCATTTCAAAGTAATGGAGACAGTTCACCTGATGAAGTAAGCTCTCAGGCTTATTTAGTTTTTGTGATATTATGTTGTCATTTCTTTTCCCAAACTTGAGTTCCATAAATAACAAACTCTGTTGAATTATTGTGGCTGTTTGTGACTAGGCTTTGTTATCTGAGGAGGAGAATCTGTTAATCATAAACCGTTTGCACCAAGTTCTACGACCCTTTGTACTTCGGAGGCTGAAACACAAGGTCCTTACATGATATTATCTCATCAATTTTGGTTATGTTTTGGTGTTAAAGGTTATCTTGTTTGATAAGATTTTGACCGTTTGGTGGGTTGTGGGGCTGCGGCAGTGCTTTCTGTGGCCTTATATTTTGCCACTTACCCTCCGTTTTCTTACCCAAATAGGGATAAAGATTTATAACTATTTTGTCTGGCCACTTAAGTCTATTCTGCCTGCACAGCAGATGCAGCCATAACAAATTTGGATTATGCATTTGGTTTGTGCCATATTACACTGAGGGTATTTGATGTAAAGTTTTGTTTGCTTATGGTTTAGTGAATATTTTGCAGAGATGAACTCTTTCATCTCACTGTTCTGTCAAAAATCGATTCTTTTTAATCAAAGTTCTTATATATTAATGTTCTTGCGTTCTCAAATTCTTCTTGGTAGGTTGAAAATGAACTGCCTGAAAAGATTGAGAGACTTATAAGATGTGAGGCTTCCGCCTATCAGAAGCTGTTAATGAAGAGAGTTGAAGAAAATCTTGGTTCAATTGGAAATTCAAAGGTTCCTTTTAATACGTATTATGCTCAATTCAAGTTCTTGTTTCTTATTTCTTGTTAAGGACATCCCAAATGATCATTTATGTCAGATAATAACTACTATCTGCTCTAACTTATATGACAAACTTCTTTATTTAAAGGACATACAAAGATATTTTGTATCAGATAATTATTGTTATTTGCTTTAACCTAAAATGACAATTTTCCTTCAGGCTCGGTCGGTTCATAACTCTGTTATGGAGCTTCGAAATATATGCAATCATCCGTATCTCAGCCAGCTTCATGCAGAGGAGGCATGCTCTTTTCATAATTATTGAAACTTCGTTTGTTACTTGGAAAACTTTGGAATGATAGCGAAACAAATTTTTTTTCCAACATTTTTTCATTCCTTGTTTTTCGTTGTTTAAGACCCCAACCAAGGGTGAGACTATATTTTTCCATCTATATTGTTTGCGCTGCCTTCTTCTAATGCAAACCAATATCTAATCACCTTTTGTAGGTTGACAATTTAATACCTAAGCATTATCTGCGACCAATTATTCGACTTTGTGGGAAGCTTGAGATGCTAGATAGATTACTCCCAAAACTGAAAGCAACTGATCATCGGGTATGCTGATTAATTTATACAATTTTTGTTCATATTGAGATACAATTTCTGCAAGCAGTTGATATTCAATTTATTCTAGTTATGCTTGAAGGAGTTATTCATTAATTTCTGACATTTTGCAGTGATTATTGGAAGTTAGTACTAGATGAAGAATCATTCATGATTAGGCTTTTTGCCCTTGCTTGTTGGCATTTATAATTATGCTATTTCAAAAGATTTAGTTGTGATCATCTTTTTGGGGTGCTTAATTTTATTAGTGATGGCTTTTTTTTTTTTTTTTAATGGTTGTATCGCTTGTCATTATTGCTGTAGATCAGGTACTTCAAACATGCAATACTCTGAACTATGAACTTTGTTTTGTACTGTTAGATTTCTGTAGACCAGTTGAAATGACTGTGCATTTACAGAAGTAGTTTTTTCTTAATCTGCGCAATTTAGATCCTATATCATTTTACACCAGTGGTTCAGAGTGTTTAATTCATGGATTGAATTTTTTCAGGTTCTTTTCTTTTCCACCATGACTAGGCTGCTTGATGTCATGGAGGAGTATCTCACCTTTAAACGATACCCATACCTTAGGTTGGATGGGCATACATCTGGGGGTGACCGAGGTGCCCTCATTGACAAATTCAACCAACAAGATTCACCCTATTTTATATTTCTTCTCAGGTAATTCTTTATTCAATATACAAATGTTATTCTACCTATATTTTGCTATTTCTTTACCTATGGAGGTAGCAGGCAGGGAGGGTGGCGGGAGAATAAGTCATTAGGGCAGTGGAGATGAAGGATGGGTGGAGATTTAGTGACTCGAGACATTTTTTTGTTAAAAACTGATGAAGTTGCAAACAGTAGACTGAGGTGTTTCCTTGAGGGATTTTCTGTCCAGGATTCACCATTTCTTTCTCCTCATTTTATAATGGGAAGGTAGTGCAATTGTGAATGTGGACATTGGAGAGGGGAGGAATGAAGTAGTGCTGCAATCTCCATTTGGCACATATTAGAGTGTGTGGTAGACACACACGCTGGCATAAGTCCTGTTTCACTGTTGTTAAGGGATACTATGTGAATTCTGGTTATATCATTATCTGGGTGCTATACATTCTAGCCTGTAACATCAGACTATTGATCGTCAGTGTTATTTCACTTGTACATAATTCTGCTGTTGGTGTTAGTACTAATAAGAAGTAAGAACGACACTTGTATTTGCAGTGCATGTGTTAGTATGTTTATGTCTGCACCCTTTTGTTAAATTAGATTGTATGTTTTTGATATATTGTGTATGGTCTTAGCATTCGTGCTGGTGGTGTTGGAGTTAATCTTCAAGCTGCTGATACTGTGATCATATTCGACACCGACTGGAATCCACAGGTGATATAAGGATTAATGTTTTTTTATTTCTGTCTGTTCAGTGACAATTCTAGAGCTAATTTAGTTCACTATTGTTATGTCGTAAGGTTGATCTGCAAGCACAGGCAAGGGCTCATAGAATTGGCCAGAAGAGGGAAGTGCTTGTTCTTAGATTTGAAACAGTGAGTACTGTCATGGTGGTTTCCTTTTGAAAAAGTTTATTAGCTTTTAAAGAAGAGACAAAATTACATCATTTTTGTTAAGAACTTGTGTTTTTCTGCAATAGTTTGAGTTCTGCACTTTCTGCTGCGAGTTGGATTCTAGGCCCATGAAAATTATAGACTATTATTAGAATGTCTTTCCTTTCCCCACCATTTTAGCCGAATGGCTGCTGAGGATTAAAGTGATGATGCTCTGGGCAAATGTCCTAGTGGCAGTTTGTATTGACACTATTTAGACCTGTAGACCGCAGTGCATGGATTAAAGCAACCCTTTTGCCTTTTTTTAATAGAAGCAGACCATGTCCAGAAAGAAGCTAAACCATGCAGAGGGGTAGTACAGATATACAAAACTAAACCCTGACAACTATCTGTGTATTGTATACCAAAACAGCCTGTACCTGGGCCTGCATAATCCTGAGAAACTGAAGCTCAAAGAGATGCAACCAGAAGAATTCTATCCCAAAGTCTTCAGACTTGTTCTACTATTTGTTCTTCAAACAACTGTATTCCTCTACCCCCTCCTCCTTCTTTTAAAAGCAAAGATATTTCTCCATGACTAGAGATCCTCATGATTTTGTGACAGCCCACAAAATAGATGCTACTTAGTAGTTGAGGAATAAGCGGTCTTCTATCTTTTCACTCTTCCCACGCATAAATCTCCAAGATGGGGAAAACATATGCTTGGGTGTTCCTTTGAACATTATCGGTCATATTTTTCAGTGCCCAAGCAAAAAATTGAACTTTAGAGGGAACTTAAGCTTTCCTTATCATCCCCTATGGCTGGAACTTGTGATTCTCTGAATCCAATTTTCACATATAGAATTTGCAAGAATTGAACTGACGCCTCAAGCGTCCAGCTCCTCCTATCTTCCTTTGACTCATTATAATTCAACTGTGACACAGTCTACAATCTAATGAGAAGCAAGTTAGATCTCTGGGTCTACAAGTTTGTTTAGGGTGTGAGATATTGTTCTTGAATCTTTCTTAGATGAGTTATCTCAGACTACTTTTCTTGTAATAAGGTTCAAACTGTTGAGGAACAAGTTAGAGCTTCAGCTGAGCACAAACTGGGAGTTGCTAATCAGAGTATTACAGCTGGTTTCTTTGATAATAATACAAGGTGAATCAAATTGATTTAGCTAAACTTTTCTACATGAATGTAGAAGTGTCTTTCAATACATTTCTGATTAATGTTCTGAAGAAAGTTTTTTGATTTTGTGCCAGTGCTGAAGATCGTAGGGAATACTTGGAGTCTTTGCTGCGGGAGAGTAAGAAAGAGGAAGCTGCACCTGTATTAGATGATGATGCTTTAAATGATGTCTTAGCCCGCAGGTAAATCTTATTTGATGTTTGTTACTAATAAGTTCACTGCATATAATAAGCTGTGACTTGTCAGCATTGGGAGACTGGTTCTCAGGAACTTTTGTTCTGGTTTTAGTTTAATTCAATGTAATGATAAAATTGTTCAGTAGGTGTGGCCTGAAATTCTGCAACAATGAATGAAGCTTTCTGAATGTGTTTTTTAACCTATTTAGAATACTGTTATTACCATTCTGCGTTCTGTGAGGCCATCTTGAAGACAAGTGCCTAGCCAACATGTAGTGGCTTATTTATTCCTCTCCTAAATATATGTGACACATTTTCTGCATTGAGAATTTCTTCCTTGGAAGGCCCTCTTTTGATGTATTTGAATTTTAATGGAGACCCGTAATACCTTTTGCCAGTATAATGTCATGGGCCTTCACTGATTTTACCTCAATGTAATAAGAAAAGTCGAAGTTTATTTTTGTTTTGCTAGTATTGATTTGTTTTCCTTGTGGTACTTATTCTTCAAGTTCAATTATTCTGATTCTCTTATGTTGGCAGTGAATCTGAGATTGATGTATTTGAATCAGTTGACAAACAAAGGCGAGAAGAAGAGATGGTATGTAAGATTAGTTTTTGTATCCAGGATATTCTGGTTTTGGGCTGCATCAAGTGCTTATATCATGTGTGCTTACTGTTTCTCTGATGAAATGCCTTGCTAAAACTTTTAAAATCTGCAGGCAATGTGGAAAAATTTGGTTGGCGGACACGGGATGGATGGTTCTGAGCCTTTACCTCCCTTGCCTTCTCGCCTTGTTACTGATGACGATTTGCAAGTATTCTATAAAGCAATGAAGATATTTGATGTACCAAAGACTGTGGTAACACCTCAAGTTGGTGTAAAGCGGAAGAATGAGTATCTTGGGGCCCTTGATACTAAACAATATGGAAGAGGCAAGAGAGCAAGAGAGGTTTGTCGATAAAATCTGATTTTCCTATTGTAAACATGTCACTGCATTTTGCCGCTTTGCCTTTTTCTTTTTTCTTTTTAAATATTATATTTCAGCAATGTAGGAGCCTATATAGCTTAGTTCAGGTTCTTTTTTCTTTTTTCTTTATATCTTTTTACTTTGTTAGGTGAGGTCGTATGAAGAGCAATGGACAGAAGAGGAATTTGAAAAGTTGTGTCAAGCTGACTCTCCTGAATCCCCTAAGTTGAAGGAGGGAGGAACAGAAAAGAACTTGCCAACAGTCACCAGCAGCTCTACAGTATCTCTTGATATCACAGAACCTCCTGCTGTACTCACTCCACCCCCTTCACCTCCTGCACCCCTTCCACCACCTCCACCTCCTCCACCACCCTCTGTGGATCCTCCACAGTTACAGCAAAACAAAGAGGTAACACCACCATCTAAGCGGGGTCGTGGAAGGCCAAGAAGGGCAGATAAATCTCCAATTGCAATGGTTATCCCAGCATCTTCTGGAACTGGAAAAGTGGAGACAGGGTTACAGAGAGATACAGTGACCAGCCATTCAGCAACCTTGGATCCTGGTTCATTGCCTGGATCTATTGTTGTCAGTGGATCTTCGCAACATGTTGGTGCAGGGATTGCTCTCAGCTCTCAGGCAACCTCCGAGTTCCATCCTGCTACTCCTGGCTCACAATCTGCACCTGGATGCCCTTCCATACCTGTACAATCAAGGGGACGAGGCCGGAAGATTCAGAGTGGTGAACAAGCAACCCGGCGTAGGGGAAAGAAACATGGTTCAGTGTTACCTGCTGTTCAAGATGGTTTATCAAGTACTGGTCCTGATCCAAAAATAAATGAGCAATCCCAGAGTAAATCTGCGAATCCTGCTGGGAGCCAGCCTATTGCCATAGTTGCAACTGGTTCTAGCATTCCTGTGGCTCCTGTTCCTGCTTCTTTACCTAGTTCTACTGTTAAAGATCTTAGTGGAACTAGTGATCCTTCTGTTGTAGGGGATGCTTTGAATTCTGTACCAGTCACTCATGTAACATCTGTTCCTACTGCACCTCAACCCTCCCTCCCCTGTCCTCCAGCACCCATGCAAAATAAAGGGCAGAGCAGGAAGACTCAAAGCGGAGTGGTGACCCCCCGGCGTAGAGGAAAGAGACAGGCGGTGATATCGCCTCCTGTTCCTGCTGGTCTGGATACGAAATCAGATCTTCAATCAGAGGATAACCGTGGGGATCTGTCAGGAAGTAAAGCTGTTTCAATGAGAAGTAAACAAGATATCGTGTCTCAGGAATTGTCAAATGCAATTCAGAAGCAACCATGTGGTGTTGGTGAACCTGCTGATACTTCTGGTCAGGAAAAAAAATCTATTGAGCAATCAGATAATGCTGTCCAGCACCCACATCCAACAAGCTCATTGGCATTGCATGATACCAGTGGCAGATCTTCTGGTAAGAACTTCCCTCTTTTAATATTGATGAAATTGATGCACTTGTGAAAGTGAATGTTTGTGGTATTGCCTTCTGAAATTGATTTGAATGTCACTTTTACAGCTCCTGCTTCTGTACAAGTTCCAAGTGCTGCTTTATCTGATGTTGCTTCAGGGTCAAGGGAGGATTTATCTGAAAATGGCTCTTCAAAAGGTGGGGCTGTTCCAACTACAGCTGTATCAAGTAAAACTGTTGTTGAGGTGATCAAGAACCAAAATTCCAAGGACAAAGCTTGTACCGATATATCAAATCTGAAGACTGCATCTCAAGCTGCTGACTCTGTAGCTGACTCTTTTCCTGGTTCTACTGCTGTAGAAGACATCAATGAAATGATGCAGCCAGTTGCTGGAGCAACTGCTCCTGGGTCTCTGTCAATTTCTACTGACCCTTCCGTTGCTGCAGCTTATCAATCTACCCCTTCTCAGGCTCCAGAATCTGTTCCAGTGAAAAGGCAAGGTCGTAAAACTCCTAGCAGAGGAGAAGCACCTAGGCGAAGGGGAAAGAGACAGGCTTTGGGATTATCTGCAACTCCTGATGGGTCTGTTGGCCTAGATCCAAAATTAAATCAGCAATCACATAGCAAACCCAGGGATATGATAGGAAGCAAAACCATTGCCCCAAGAAATAAACAAGAGATTGATGCTAAGGAATTGACTGAGGTTATCCAGACACCTGTATGCGAAGTCCCATCTCCTGGTGGTTTAGCTGGTCAGGATCCAAAACGAAAAGAAACATGTACAAACCCAGTTCTTGGACGAATTCAGACTGCTGATGTAACTGATGTTGCTCGTGTCATGAAGGAGATTTTCTCTGAAACTTGCTCAGCAAAAGCTAAAGCTGGTGAATGTTCCGGGATTGAAGCTAGGGATAATACTACGCCTGTATCCAGTAACATCCTTCCCGAGGTGGCCCAAAACCAAAGTTCAAAGGATAAAGCATGTCCAGAGATGCCAACTTTGGAAACAGTCCCTCCAGGTTTGGACATTCCCATCAATAAGAATAAAGAGCAGCCTGGAATAGAAAGTGATGCAACTTTTAAAGGTGACACTGAGATTTTCTCTGAAACTTTCTCATCAGGTTGTCCAAAACCACGGTTCAGAGGATAAAACATGTCCAGAGATGCCAACTTTGGAAACAGCACGCCCAGGTTTTGACTCTGCCATCAACCACATGAGGACCAATTTGAAACTGGAAATGACGCAAAGTAAACATGATAGGAGATTACATCCGAAACATGCTATGTAAGGCTGGTGTACCTTTTGAGAGTGAAGGTAATGCTGATCATACTATGGCTGTTATCAGTGAACCTGTTCAAAAGGTGCCCCAAAATCAAGTTCAGATGTAAAGCTGCCCCCATGTCGCAACTTGGAACTGACCCTCCTGGTTCTGACGTTCTGATCAACAAGCATAAGGAGTTGGAACTGAAAGTGACCAAAAGTTACAGGTGACAAGGAGATTTTCTCTGAAACTTGCTCATCAAAAGCCAAAGCTGGTGATTCCTCTGGGAGTGAAGGTATGAATGCTCCTATTAAATAATTTTTATTTATGCATGCAATAAGTTGCTTTTTTATATATGTGTTGTCTATGAGATCATGTCTTATTAAGATGTAACAATTTGATCATGATTTTGATTATGCAGTTAACCATATTGTGAAAATACTTTTTACTTTGTTAGGTGAGGTCGTATGAAGAGCAATGGACAGAAGAGGAATTTGAAAAGTTGTGTCAAGCTGACTCTCCTGAATCCCCTAAGGTGAAGGAGGGAGGAACAGAAAAGAACTTGCCAACAGTCACCAGCAGCTCTACAGTATCTCTTGATATCACAGAACCTCCTGCTGTACTCACTCCACCCCCTTCACCCCCTGCACCCCTTCCACCACCTCCACCTCCTCCACCACCCTCTGTGGATCCTCCACAGTTACAGCAAAACAAAGAGGTAACACCACCATCTAAGCGGGGTCGTGGAAGGCCAAGAAGGGCAGATAAATCTCCAATTGCAATGGTTATCCCAGCATCTTCTGGAACTGGAAAAGTGGAGACAGGGTTACAGAGAGATACAGTGACCAGCCATTCAGCAACCTTGGATCCTGGTTCATTGCCTGGATCTATTGTTGTCAGTGGATCTTCGCAGCATGTTGGTGTAGGGATTGCCCTCAGCTCTCAGGCAACCTCCGAGTTCCATCCTGCTACTCCTGGCTCACAATCTGCACCTGGATGCCCTTCCATACCTGTACAATCAAGGGGACGAGGCCGGAAGATTCAGAGTGGTGAACAAGCAACCCGGCGTAGGGGAAAGAAACATGGTTCAGTGTTACCTGCTGCTCAAGATGGTTTATCAAGTACTGGTCCTGATCCAAAAATAAATGAGCAATCCCAGAGTAAATCTGCAAATCCTGCTGGGAGCCAGCCTATTGCCATAGTTGCAACTGGTTCTAGCATTCCTGTGGCTCCTGTTCCTGCTTCTTTACCTAGTTCTACTGTTAAAGATCTTAGTGGAACTAGTGATCCTTCTGTTGTAGGGGATGCTTTGAATTCTGTACCAGTCACTCATGTAACATCTGTTCCTACTGCACCTCAACCCTCCCTCCCCTGTCCTCCAGCACCCATGCAAACTAAAGGGCAGAGCAGGAAGACTCAAAGCGGAGTGGTGACCCCCCGGCGTAGAGGAAAGAGACAGGCGGTGATATCGCCTCCTGTTCCTGCTGGTCTGGATACGAAATCAGATCTTCAATCAGAAGATAACCCTGGGGATCTGTCAGGAAGTAAAGCTGTTTCAATGAGAAGTAAACAAGATATCGTGTCTCAGGAATTGTCAAATGCAATTCAGAAGCAACCATGTGGTGTTGGTGAACCTGCTGATACTTCTGGTCAGGAAAAAAAATCTATTGAGCAATCAGATAATGCTGTCCAGCACCCACATCCAACAAGCTCATTGGCATTGCATGATACCAGTGGCAGATCTTCTGGTAAGAACTTCCCTCTTTTAATATTGATGAAATTGATGCACTTGTGAAACTGAATGTTTGTGGTATTGCCTTCTGAAATTGATTTGAATGTCACTTTTACAGTTCCTGCTTCTGTACAAGTTCCAAGTGCTGCTTTATCTGATGTTGCTTCAGGGTCAAGGGAGGATTTATCTGAAAATGGCTCTTCAAAGGGTGGGGCTGTTCCAACTACAGCTGTATCAAGTAAAACTGTTGTTGAGGTGATCAAGAACCAAAATTCCGAGGACAAAGCTTGTACCGATATATCAAATCTAAAGACTGCATCTCAAGCTGCTGACTCTGTAGCTGACTCTTTTCCTGGTTCTACTGCTGTAGAAGACATCAATGAAATGATGCAGCCAGTTGCTGGAGCAACTGCTCCTGGGTCTCTGTCAATTTCTACTGACCCTTCCGTTGCTGCAGCTTATCAATCTACCCCTTCTCAGGCTCCAGAATCTGTTCCAGTGAAAAGGCAAGGTCGTAAAACTCCTAGCAGAGGAGAAGCACCTAGGCGAAGGGGAAAGAGACAGGCTTTGGGATTATCTGCAACTCCTGATGGGTCTGTTGGCCTAGATCCAAAATTAAATCAGCAATCACATAGCAAACCCAGGGATATGATAGGAAGCAAAACCATTGCCCCAAGAAATAACCAAGAGATTGATGCTAAGGAATTGACTGAGGTTATCCAGACACCTGTATGCGAAGTCCCATCTCTTGGTGGTTTAGCTGGTCAGGATCCAAAACGAAAAGAAACATGTACAAACCCAGTTCTTGGACGAATTCAGACTGCTGATGTAACTGATGTTGCTCGTGTCATGAAGGAGATTTTCTCTGAAACTTGCTCAGCAAAAGCTAAAGCTGGTGAATGTTCAGGGATTGAAGCTAGGGATAATACTACGCCTGTATCCAGTAACACCCTTCCCGAGGTGGCCCAAAACCAAAGTCCAAAGGATAAAGTATGTCCAGAGATGCCAACTTTGGAAACAGTCCCTCCAGGTTTGGACATTCCCATCAATAAGAATAAAGAGCAGCCTGGAATAGAAAGTGATGCAACTTTTAAAGGTGACACTGAGATTTTCTCTGAAACTTTCTCATCCAAAGATAAATCTGATGACCCTTCTGGGAGTGAAGATAAAAATGCTTCTATCATAGCTGTATCCAGTAACAATGTTGCAGAGGTTGTCCAAAACCACGGTTCAGAGGATAAAACATGTCCAGAGATGCCAACTTTGGAAACAGCACGGCCAGGTTTTGACTCTGCCATCAACACACATGAGGACCAATTTGAAACTGGAAATGACGCAAAAAGTAAACATGATAAGGAGATTACATCCGAAACATGCTCATGTAAAGCTGGTGTACCTTTTGAGAGTGAAGGTAATGATGATCCTACTATGGCTGTATCCAGTGAACCTGTTCAAAAGGTGCCCCAAAATCAAAGTTCAGATGATAAAGCCTGCCCACATGTGCCAACTTTGGAAACTGACCCTCCTGGTTCTGACGTTCTAATCAACAAGCATAAGGAGTCTGGAACTGAAAGTGACCCAAAAGTTACAGGTGACAAGGAGATTTTCTCTGAAACTTGCTCATCAAAAGCCAAAGCTGGTGATTCCTCTGGGAGTGAAGGTATGAATGCTCCTATTAAATAATTTTTATCTTATGCATGCAATAAGTTGCTTTTTTATATATGTGTTGTCTATGAGATCATGTCTTATTAAGAGGTAACAATTTGATCATGACTTTTGATTATGCAGTTAACCATATTGTGAAAATACAAAGTTCAGATGATAAAGCCTGTCCTGAAATGCCAACTTTGGAAACTGTCCCTCCTGGTTTTGACATTCTAATCAACAAGCATAAGGAGTCTAGGACTGAAAGTTATGCAAAAGTTACGGGTGACAAGGAGATTTCCTCTGAAACTTGCTCATCAAAAGCTAAAGCTGGTTACTTTTCTGGGAGTTACAGTATGAATGCTCCTAATATAGCTGTATCCACTAGCACCATCATGGAGGTGGTCCAAAACCAGAGTTCAGAAGATAAAACTTGTCCAGAGATGCCGATGTTGGGAACAGTCTCTCCTGATTCTGACATCACAATTAATGAGCATAAAGAACAATCTGGGACTGAAAGTGATGCAATTATTAGAGGCAACAATGAGATTGTCTCGGAGACCTGCTCATCAAAAGCTACAGTTGGAGATTCTCCTGGTAGTGAAGGTATGGGTGCTCATGGTATAGCTGTATCCGGAAATACTGTTTCAGAGGTGGTCCAAGACCAAAGATCAGAGGATAGAACCGGTCCAGAGATTCCAACTCTGGAAACAGCCCCTCCAGATTCTGATATTCCAATCAACAAGCATGAAGAACAGCCTGGGACCAAAAGTGATGTAGAAATTAAAGGTGACAATTCTCTGTTCTCTTGTGAGCCTCAGGTCTTACAAACTGAAGCTTCCAAACCTGAAAGTAAGACTGATGATGGTTCTGCTGAGAACTTGGGTGATTTAAGAGAACCAAGACAGCTTCCTGATGAGAAATCAATAGTGGAAAGTACCTCAGAGATCAGTGGTACAGTTCAGCTCAATGCTATGCAAAAGAAAGATGTTCTTGCTCAGGAATTACTTGCACCTGACAGTGATCGTGCAGGTTCTAATATAGGGTTATCCAACAGTCAGGTTCCCAGCGTGGTGCCGCTTTCTGACGCGACTGAGAAGGATTTTGGGGACACAACAATGACTTCATCAAATGATTCTCCCAAATCATCTTCTGTTGGTGTTAGCCATGCTGACTGTCATACAATTTCCATGAATGATGATGATACTGTTGATCATGACAGAACAAGCACCCTTGTTTCCACTGCAGCAGAGCCTCCTAGCTTAATTAGGCCTTCCTCAAATGTCTCTCAAGAAACTTCTCTTCTTGCTGTCAGCAGCATTGAGGCTTCCTCAATTCTGACATGTGATCAAATGGATGTTTCTAAGGATAGTGAGGTAATGCCAGAGAACTTATCTGAGGACTTAGGTCCACCCTCATCCGCAGTAGCATTTGAGGAAGATAAGGTTGAGGGCTGCCCAGAGAAAGATTCTGTTTGCAACTTAGTGGAACTAGATAATTCAAAGGGGTCTGAAGCAGTTAATCAAAAGGATGTTTCTCAGAGTGGTGAGGCTGTGGCAGAGAGCTTATCTGAGGATTTGGGTCTGCCATCACCCAGTGAGATTGAGGAAGAGAAGATTAATGATTCAACTCAGAAGGATATAGATAGCAGCTTAGTCGTGGTACTAGATGATTTAAAAGGGTCTGTAGGTGAAGCAGATGACCAAATTAATGTTTCTCAGGGTGACAGGGGTTCGGGTCTGCTTTCATCCTTGGTGATTGAGGAAGTAAAGATAGATGGTTCCTCTGAGATGAATATAGTTGGCAACTTAGTGTCAGCAGAGGATTCAAAAGCTTCTGCAGGTGAAGCAGCTGAACAAATTGATGTTTCTCAGGGTGGTGATGTCATGCCAGAGATCTTATCAAATGACTTAGATCTGCCTTCATCCTCCATGGTGATTGAGGAGGAAATAATTGAGGGATCCTCTGAAAAAGATCCAGTTACCAGCATAGTGTCAGTGGAGGATTCAAAAGGTTCTTTAGGTGAAGGAGGTGAAAAAATTGACGTTTCTCAGAGTGGTGACATCATGCCAGAGAACTTATCAAAGGACTTAGATCTGCCTGCATCCTCCATGGTGATTGAGGAAGAAAAAATTGAGGGATCCTCTGAAAAAGATCCAGTTAGCAGCTTAGTGTCAGTGGAGGATTCAAAAGGTTCCATAGGTGAAGCAGGTAATCAAATGAATGTTTCTTCGGGTGCTGGGGTTGTGCAGGAGAACTTATCTGAGAATTCTGGTCTGCCTCTATCCTCCATGGTGATTGAGGAAGAAAAGATAGATGGTTCCTCTGAGAAGGATAGAGTTAGCGACTTAGTGCCAGCAGAGCATTCAAAAGCTTCTGTAGGTGAAGCAGGTGAACAAATTGTTGTTTCTCAGGGTGTTGATGTCATGCCAGAGAATTTATCGAAGGACTTAGATCTGCCTTCAGCCTCCATGGTGATTGAGGAAGAAAAAATTGAGGGATCCTCTGAAAAAGATCCAGTTAGCAGCTTAGTGTCACTGGAGGATTCAAAAGCTTCTGTAGGTGAAGCAGGTGAACAAGTTGATGTTTCTCAGGGTGGTGATGTCATGCCACAGAATTTATCAAAGGACTTGGATCTGCCTTCATCCTCCATGGTGATAGAGGATGAAAAAATTGAGGGATCCTCTGAAAAAGATCCAGTTAGCAGCTTAGTGTCAGCGGAGGATTCAAAAGGTTTTGTAGGTGAAGCAGGTGATCAAATGAATGTTTCTTCGGATGCTGGGGTTGTGCAAGAGACCTTATCTGAGGATTCGTGTCTGCCTTCATCCGTCTTGGTGGCTGAGGAAGAAAAGATAGATGGTTCCTCTGAGAAGGATATAGTTAGCAACTTAGTGTCAGCGGAGGATTCAAAAGCTTCTGTAGGTGAAGCAGGTGAAAAAATTGATGTTTCTCAGGGTGGTGATGTCATGCCAGAGAACTTATCAAACGACTTAGATCTGCCTTCATCCTCTATGGTAATTGAGGAGGAAAAAATTGAGGGATCCTCTGAAAAAGATCCAGTTAGCAGCTTAGTGTCAGTGGAGGATTCAAAAGCTTCAGTAGATGAACCAGGTGAGCAAGTTGATGTTTCTCAGGGTGGTGACGTCATGCCAGAGAACTTATCAAAGGACTTAGATCTCCCTTCATCCTCCATGGTAATTGTGGAGGAAAAAATTGAGGGATCCTCTGAAAAAGATCCAGTTAGCGGCTTAGTGTCAGTGGAGGATTCAAAGGCTTCTGTAGGTGAAGCCGGTGAACAGATTGATGTTTCTCAGGGTTGTGATGTTATGCCAGAGAACTTATCAAAGGACTTAGATTTGCCTTCATCTTTCATGGTGATTGAGGAAGAAAAAATTGAGGGATCCTCTGAAAAAGATCGAGTCAGCAGCTTAGTGTCAGTGGAGGATTCAAAAGTTTCTGTAGGTGAAGCAGGTGAACAGATTGATGTTTCTGAGGGTGGTGACATCATGCCAGAGGGCTTATCAAAGGACTTAGATCTGCCTTCATCCTCCATGGTGATTGAGGAAGAAAAAATTGAGGGATCCTCTGAAAAAGATCCAGTTAGCAGCTTAGTGTTGGTGGAGGATTCAAAAGGTTCTGTAGGTGAAGCAGGTAATCAAATGAATGTTTCTTTGGATGCTGCGGTTGTGCAAGAGAACTTATCTGAGGATCCGGGTCGGCCTTTATCCTCGATGGTTGAGGTAGAAAAGATAGATGATTCCTCTGAGAAGGATATAGTTTTAGTGTCACTGGAGGATCCAAAAGGGTCTGTAGCTGAAGCAGGGAATCAGATAGATGTTGCTTCGGGTGCTGGGGTTGAGCAAGAACCTGTTTCAGAAGACTTGGGTCTGCCCGCACCTTCCATGGCAGTGGAGCTGGTCAAGCAAGAACCTGTTTCAGGAGACTCGGGTTTGCCCACGTTTTCCATGGCAGTGGAGCAAGAAAAGACTGAGGTTTTGTCTGAGAAGGATCCAAATGGCAGCTCAGCCTCACAGGAGTTATAGATGGTGGAAGAAGAGACTAAAAACCAACCTGAAATGGACCCAGTTAGCAGTTCAGTAGCACCTGAGGAATCAAGAGGTTCTGAAGCTGAGTAAATGTACCAAGTTAGGGTTATTGTATAGTTTTGTTTGAATTTCTTCCCATATGTAACTTATTTTAAAAGGGCTGACTTGATGCATTCAGATAACTAATTACACTATTGGTACTGTAAATAATTCCAATTTTATCAAGATGCAGCACCATTAATGTAATATATTAATTTGTGTAGTTAGTTTGTTTTTTTTAATCTCAAGATACACGTTGAACTTTCACCAAAGAAGAAAAAAAATGGCAACAAATATTGACTTGTTAAGCAAGCTGGAAGGGTGTAGGAACTTGTTTTTATTCATACAATCTCAGGTTCTTTTACTGTGGTGAAATGTGAATATCGTTTTCTGAAAGGTAATCTTTTTTTGGAATGAATGAAGCTCGATGTTTTAGAGGAACAGAAGGATTTAGATTTAAGTTTTAATCCGCCAAAGAGTATTAGATGTTGGAAGGATGGTTTTCTGATTGCTTTGATTTCTATTTAACATGGGAACATAATTTATTGACAAATATTCGGGTGCGTTTGTTTTGTTATTTTAGATAGGATTTTAGAAATAATATTGGGTAGTTAAATAGGGTGAGTATTACAAGGTAAAAATTAAAATTTAACAAAAAAAATCCCATAGGTTTGTTAATTTAACTAAACACCTCAATATATAAAAATTTAGTAAAATGACAAAAATACCCCCACCCACCCACAGTGCCAGATTCCAGTCACCACCGTCGAAATCTGGGCAGAAAATAGCATTACGATGCAAATCGGTAGGATCTGGCTGGTCGTGCGTCGATATGGCCTTTTCCGGTCATATCCACCTTGAATCTGGCTGGAAAATGTCAGATCTACGGCCAGATGTAGTCGTCGACGACCGAAAAAGATCAGATTAGGCTGTCAACAATGACCACAGATATGACCGTCGTTGTCGGTCAATGATGGCCATTTCTTTGGCCGTTAGCAATCTGGCCTTTTTCGGCGAATTTTCGACTAATTCTGGTTGTTTCTATACTGTTGTGACAGATTTCGACAATCTCTGATAGTGGTTGCTAGAATCTGGCAACTATGAGTGGGTGGGGATGTTTTTATTAATTTTAAAATTTTTTTTTTAAGAGTATTTAATTAAATTAATAAACTTAAAGAGTCTAAAAGTAATTAAAAAAATAGAATAATATTTCTCAAATAATTAAACGAACATGTATTTTGAAAATAGAATTGGGAATAATAAAACAACCGCACCCTTGTTTTTCACATGGTTATACATTCCCTAGTTGTTAATGTATACTTGAAACAAACAGGGAATCGGAGTTCCAATTCTCTTGCCAATCAATTTTTATTTCGTTCTCCTCAAACCCAAAATTTGTTTAATTGTTCTGTCTTGGAATCATAAATGGATTCAGATAAAGATATCAAGAAATGTGATTAGGTTATTAGAGCATCTAATGGTAATCTTTATTTTGAAGAATATATTTCATATAAGTAAAGAGTATTTTCGTTAATTTTTAAATATAAAAAACATAATTTTTATTCAAATTCAATAAAATCTTTAAATTTAATGAAGATATTCTTTATTTTTAAGAAAGAAACTTAATGGGAGAGAGAATTAATAAATAAAATGTATAGAAACTTGTAGTTTATTAATTAAAATTAGGATATAGAGTAAAATTTGACTCTCTAAGAGCATCTCTAACGGTGTTCTTTATTTTGAAGAACATGTTTTATATAAATAAAGAGCATTTTTGTTAATTTTTAAATATAAATAAAGTAATTTTTATTCAAATATAATATGCTCTTTAAATTTAAGAAAGAAACTTAACGAAAGAAAGAATTAATAAATAAAATACATAGAAACTTGTAGTTTATTAATTAAAATTAAGATATGAGTAAAATTTAACTCTTTAAATATAGAGAATCAAACTCACTGATTTATATTTTAGAAATAAAAAATCTATTAAGCTCTTATTATTATAAATATACTTTGTATAATAAAGAGGTTGACCGATATAAAGAGTTCTTGAATTACTTTTATTTAATGAATATTAAATTGGTTTGGGATTTGATTTGATCCAACACTGACCCAACCCAACGATATAATAACAAGACGGGGAGTGTTTGATGAGTTGTGGGGATAGATGATGTGGGAGTTTATGAGGTAATAATTGAAGCTCCGGCTTTGGACTGTTTAAGATTGCGACAACTCACCCCTTCCCACTCAACCTTAACCATATTTATTGATAAAATACAACTTAGAATCCATTTCAGTTCACCCACCAACCCACCATTGGACTTCCATTGACCAATACCAACTCCCTCCTCTTCTTCATCACGTTCACCACACCTACTTATTCTTCTTCTCCATTGTCAATCAAACCCATTCAAACCCTGCATGGAGACTACTACCAGTGCGTTGGTGAGTCAATTACTACTGCTGCGCTTTCTTTCTTGACTTTTACAATTCTAATGCTAATATATTACATATTACTTACTTGATTGCTAATTCATAACTAGTAATCCTTCTTCCTATATTATTTTTTGCTCTTTATTGGTTGCCAAAGGTATTGTCAATTCTGTAAAGCTGCTTCTTTTTGTGTTTTTTCTTTTTTCTTTTTTTTTTTTTTAAAGCTGATTCTTCGTTTTTATCTTTTGCTTTGTTGATTAAGATAAAAGGGGAAGGTAAGCCCATTTATTTGCATGAGATTTTCTGTCTGTGGTTTAGGAGTTACTAACCAAATAAGTACTAACTTTAATTTCCTAATATGGGATTTTTGGCGATTAGGAGATTTTTCAATTTTATATTCTGTTTAATGATGAAGCCGTTTATCGGTGTGATTTGTTTCTTTAATTTTTTTGTAAAGCTTGCTTCTGGCTCACAAATGGCAAGTGGAGAAATGAGAAAAAATCCAACCCTAATTTGTGTTCCAATTATGAGCGATTCGGTAGAGGAGATCTTGGTTGATACAGGTAAGGCAAAGGCTAGTGGTGCTGACCTTGTGGAAATCAGATTGGATTGTTTGAAGAATTTCAGCCCTCATGAGGATCTCAAAACCATAATCAGAGATTGTCCTTTGCCCACTTTGTTCACCTACAGGTTTGTGACTCTGATTTTTCACACTTATTCAATTGATTTTACTTTATTGATATGGAGATGATCAAGAGCTCTGAATCCCAGTTTTAATTTTGTAATTTCTAGTATAGAGTACTTTTTTACTTAATTATGATCTTAAAACTTAAAGAACTTGGAATGATTTAATGATTGTCTGCTTCTCTTTAGTTTTGATTCTTTCGTATACCTGAATATCCTCTGTTTGTGATTGTTCTAACTTTTCATAATCATGCTGCGAGTATATTCCAGTAAAACTGTGAACATTAAAGATTTAGGTTTTGATGTTTTCTCTCTTCTAAGATTGGGATTTTCAAGTTTGATTTGATTCCAACAAAACTTTTGTTTGCTCTTTCTGCACCATTTTTAAAGAGATTGTGTTTTCAAATAACTTTTAAGATTTTTCAAGCTTGGACCCTCTCTGATTTTTTGTGCTGTTCTATATAGACCAAAATGGGAAGGTGGTCAATATGATGGTGACGAAAAAGAGCGATTGGATGTGTTACAATTAGCCATGGAGTTGGGAGCTGATTACATTGATATTGAGCTTCAGGTTGCTTCTGTTAATATGTTAACTTGAAAAAGTTTATTTTTGTCACGTTCTTGTTCAGAAAAAAAGGCTGTAATATTATCCTGATTGGAATATGTCATGGTATTTGCATATAAAAGGTTTGTGTGCAAGTAGCATTTAATATGGTTCATCATTTGAATTGTTCACATAAATTGATCTGCAAAATTCTTACCTTGCGCTGGCAGTTGCTTGTCAGCTTCATAACAATACTTGAGCTGCACTATCATTTTATATATATCCCCTATCATTTGTCTGTGAAGGTTGCTCGGGAGTTCAACAATTCTATATCTGGGAAGAAGCCTGAAAAGTGCAGAGTCATTGTTTCTTCTCATAACTATCAGTATACTCCATCTACTGAAGATCTTGGTAATCTCGTGGCAACGATACAAGCAACTGGAGCTGATATTGTGAAAATTGCTACCACTGCTTTGGACATAACTGATGTGGCTCGCATTTTCCAGATAACTGTGCATTCTCAAGTAAGCCACGTAAGTGGTGCTGATTATTAGTGAAATTTAAGCTTTTTCTATAATCTCTTTCTGGTTGAGTTTAAATCTAAATCACTATTTTGCTGCTACAACTGTATGATGCTAACAAGAGGATTTCAATCTAAATGGATGACACATGGATAGATATAAGATGTGTTTACATATAGATGTTGCTATTAGATGGTATATTGACCTACTGTAAAGAACAACGGCTATTTTCCTTTTATTTCTTGTGGCTGATATAAATAATAGCAGCAATTTAACTAATCGATGCTGATTATATGAGGTTTTATCGTAGATATTTATTCCTAGTAATTGAAGCTTTGGTGTAAGAAGTGATCCTCAGTAATTAGTTGCTCAGATGAAAGGTCCTTGCGAAAATGATTTTTTCATCTTGTAAGGTGTAAGAAATGCTTTATTTTGAAGTGTTGGTTTTTTAGAGTTGACATTGTTTAACTTACTAAAAACATGGAACATATAAACATCTGCTGTGGAGTTATACAATAAACATCTCTTATGGAGATGCTGTACAACTCTGGCCAAAATTATTCACAATAGTGATAGCAGAAGGTGTCTCATTGATCATCTGTCTTTTGTCAAGCTTTAAAGGATTTGTTGGCATGAATCTTTGTTATTTTTCTTTAAATTCTATTACTATGTAATATTCATTATTGGTTGAAACTACTGGCTGTTTTACTTTATCATTTTACGATTTTAAGATGTTTTATATAATCAGATTGTTTTTTATTTCTTCCTTCCTGGATTTTCAGGTTCCGGTTATTGGACTTGTTATGGGTGAAAGAGGTTTGATTTCACGGATTCTTTGTGCAAAATTTGGTGGTTATCTTACTTTTGGTACCCTTGAGTCTGGAATTGTTTCAGCTCCTGGTCAACCAACAATCAGAGATCTTTTGGATCTGTACAATTTTAGACAGTTAGGACCTGATACAAAAGTATTTGGGATTATTGGGAAGCCTGTTGGCCACAGCAAATCACCTATTTTGTATAATGAAGCATTCAAGTCTGTTGGTTTCAATGGGATTTATGTTCATTTGTTGGTGGATGATGTTGCAAAATTTTTCCAGACTTACTCATCCAGTGACTTTGCTGGATTCAGGTTAGTTTCTTATATAGCATTACTGTAAAGAAAGCATAGCATTTTTTATACTTGAAAGTATAATGCGTTAGTGCTGTGGTTTTATGATTGCCATCTTTCCTTGAGTTTAGCTAAGGTTTTCATCCCGTGAGTGATTAGCAAAGTTACTTATTGTGTCTTGTTATGTGGTGTAAATTATTGTTATATTTTATGTCAATTGTTACGTATTTATATTTCAAACTTACAATTTAAACCAAAACCCTCTCAACCATTGTTTGAGAAGAATTTATTCAGGAGACTTCTTATTTACTTACAAGAGATCTTACATGGCTAAGCTAGCTGGTATCCGCAAGTTTTATGTATTATATGTGTTGGCAGAATTCTTTTGTAGTTTAGATCTCACTATGTAACAGATTTGAAAATGAGATAATGTACCTTCATTACTGATGCAGTTGTACAATTCCTCACAAGGAGGCTGCAGTAAAGATCTGTGATGAAGTTGATCCAGTTGCAAAGGTAACTAAGATCTATTCATGTTTTAATGATGGCTGACAATATAATCATTATGAATGTGGTTGGTATACCTTTAATACTGTGTCTTTTCTTTTTGTCACACCCATGCATGATGGTTTTTCTTTTTCTTTTTAACATGATCAAATCTCAGTCAATAGGAGCTATTAATTGTATTGTAAGAAGGAGTGACGGAAAGTTATTTGGTTGCAATACGGACTACGTTGGTGCTATATCGGCAATCGAGGATGGACTAAGAGGTCTCTGTTGTGCTCCATTAAAAAACTAATTATTTTTGCCCATGATATTTTTTTTTTTTAAAGCTGTTGAGAACCCTGTTATTTTCTTTCACAGGTAAAGATAATGGTAGTGGCATAGTCGGTTCACCTTTAGCAGGTAAGTTATTTGTGGTCATTGGTGCTGGTGGTGCTGGCAAGGCACTTGCTTATGGTGCAAAAGAAAAGGGAGCAAGGGTTGCGATTGCCAATCGCACATTTGGTAAAATTTTAGCTTTGGTTTGCTTCGCGCTATTTTTTATACACTTTGCTTTATCATGAACATTTGGATTCCTCATTTAACACATCTGGACTGTTTTCTGGTGCAAGCATATCATATTCATCTATGCTCATGAGCATTACTTGTAATGGCTGATGACTCTGGTTATTAAAACAAGCAATTCTTTGTACTATAATATAAATAATATAAAGATGGCATTTTTTTCCTTCTTTGTAAAAAGGTCAAAGTTTTTTAATGGGAATCTAGTGGAAGGAATGTTTGCTATTTTATAAAAGACATTTTTATCAAGTAGAAGGAAGATATCTTCCTTTTTTTTTTATAATTTGTTTAATAGATATGGCTCTATGTTTCTTATCAAAAAAATAAAAGCACCTCTTCCTATTTTTCATTTGAGGTGATAGACTTCAGAAGTTTTCTTTGAGATTCATGAATTAAAGATGTCTGCAATCTTTACATCATATGCTGTTCATTTGTGTTTTATATTATTTTTTTTTCATGGTCATATTATGCACTTTAAAAATAGGGTTAAATACACTTACTTGGAAGTGTGAAACTTCATTAATGCCCTTCAAACAGGGGGAAAAAATTGAATTTGTAAGACAGCTGTTGTTTCACATCTTTAATTATTGAATTTACAAAAATAAGGGATGCTTGATGATATTATAAAACCTTAGGGGAGGTCAGTTATTTTACCCTGAAACATATGCTAGATTTAGTGCATGAACATTGACATATCCTTCTCTGTCCTGCTGCTTGACATAGAACATTAGTAACGCAGCATTACCCTCTATCTTCTTTTTTCTTTTCCCTTTCATTATTAATGTTGAGGTTGGCTAGGATTTCTAGTTATTTGATATGATTTATTTCCTTCATATGTTTTTGCTAGAACGAGCCAAAGAACTTGCCGACATTGTTGGAGCAGATGCTTTGTCTCTTGCTGATCTGAATAACTTCCATCCGGAGGATGGCATGATTCTCGCAAACACAACTTCTATTGGGATGCAACCAAAAGTAGATGAAACACCTGTTTCTAAGGTTTGCCTTCTCTCATGTTTTTTAACTATGATGCACTCTTTTCTGAAAGAAGTTTTGAAGCTGATGTTGTCATTTATCCGTACAATCAATAGCCATTGAAATATTTGGGATATTTTTAGACCAAGCATATTGTTAATAAAAAATTGTCCCTTGTACTTCTTACCTTTGGAATTCCATTATAATGGGATAAATAGCCCAACTATCCAGTGAAATGTTAAAGTCATTTTTTTTTCCTTCCAACTAAAAAGTAGAAAGATTGCGAATTGGTGACTACAATAGAGAAAATTGAAAAAGAAACATGGTGATCAAGATCCAACAAAAACCAAAGACAAGAAGCAAGGGAATGTATATTGGAGGAATCCTAGGGATGGAAAGAGGTTTAAAAGTGAATTGGGATGTTCAGGAGAAGCACTAGGTTTAAAAATAATGAGAAAAAGGGCTTTGAACCTTTGCAAATGAAAGGCTAAAAGGGCAATTATTTCTGTTTAAGAATGAATTAAACTTACATATGAAGGCATCATAATTAAGTGACATTCTTCTTTGGTAGGATGTTTTGAAATATTACTCGCTCGTTTTCGATGCTGTTTATACCCCCAAAGTAACCAGACTCTTGAGAGAAGCCGAAGAATCTGGAGCCACTACCGTTTCTGGGTTGGAGATGTTCATCGGACAAGCATACGAACAATATGAGAGGTTCACTGGATTGCCTGGTATGATAAATGCATCTAGCTTAAATAAATACAGCATGCTTTTCTGATGTGGTCTCTTCTTTAAAAGGTTTTATTAGCTTATATATTTATTGTGTTATCTATGTTCTCTGCTTGCAGCACCCAAGGAACTATTCCGGAAAATTATGGCAAAGTACTAATAAGGTATTTTTGGCCAATCCATTGCATGTTGCAGATTTGGATTTCCTTGTAATTCAACTCAAGGCATTTCTGTGCTTTTGGGATTTTCCTTCTAGGTTATTGTTAGCATATTTTTTCATATGTAAGAACAATTTGTAATTTCCTTGATTTATATCACTAAACGAATATTCGGGATATTTAAAACTTTCTTAGTGCTTTTCGATAATTTCGATAAGTATTGGTGACAATAACATTCTGCATGGTGTTGTAGCCAAAGGCACCTGTGATTCTCTTGGTGGATGGAATAATGGCGATTTGTGTTTATGTTTCTGTTGAGTAGTTGTACTCTTATTTTCATTTTTATAATAAATTTTGTTGTATTATTGATTTTTCGGATCATTTCTAGTGTAACTGCTATAAATAGGAAAATATTTCTACACAAGTTAGACTTTAAATTCAGTGGAAAATCTCCTCTTTTCTCTTCTCCCTCTTAAGTTTAGGTGGGAGCTCAAAGCTAAGAATTCATATTTGAAAATTGTTATAGCCATTCTAAAATTCTGAAGGAGCAAAGTTTATGACATCATACCGTTGAGCCAATTCTCTTAAACAAATTACATCAGGAAGTGTTCAGATAGCATATCATTAGAGCTTTGATTTTGTTTGTTTCTCATACTTCTGAAGGCATCTTTGGTGACTTGAAAACCTATAGATAGTGCAAATAGCAGCACAGAAACAGCTTTATCCAATTTAGGACGGAGGCAAACAACATCAATTAGTTCCAAGTAAATAATTTTTTCACCAATCCCCAAACCTAGAGCTTCAATGACTTGATATGCACTCAAATTTGTGTCGTACTACGTCAAAAATCGTTTCTCTTGCCAAACTTGGTCGCATTTCATGTGCGCGCAAAGTGTTCGATAATATGCCGGACAGAGACGTTGTCTCCTGGAATGCAATGTTGTCAAGCTATACTCAGATGGGTCTTTACCCAGAAGCGCTTTCTCTTTTCCAGCACATGAGAGTCTCCAATACGAATCCTGACCAATTCTCGTTCACTGCGACTTTAAATGCTTGTGCAGGCATAAATGACGTTCAAAATGGAGCAAAATTGCATGCTTTAATCCTTGTTCTCGGGTACCAATCTTCGTTGCCAGTTAACAATTCGCTTATTGACATGTATGGTAAGTGTTTAGAGCCTTCTAGTGCAAGTAAAGTGTTCAAGGAAATGAATGAAACGAATGAAGTTACGTGGTGTTCTCTGTTATATGCATATACAAATACTGGTCAGTTCAATATGGCAAATGAAGTTTTTCGTGTGATGCCAAATAGGGTGACAATTGCATGGAATATAATGATTGCGGGGCATGCTAAACATGGGGAAATTGAAGTATGTTTGAGTTTATTTAAAGAAATGCGAGAGAATATGAGTTTGCCCGATCAGTGGACTTTGAGTGCTCTCATGAGTGCTTGTGCTGAATCATCAGAATTGATATATGGATGCATGATGCATGCCTTTGTAATCAAAATTGGTTGGAGATCCGCTGTGGAGGCAAAGAATTCGATCCTCAGCTTTTATGCAAAAGTAGGCTGCCAGAGTCATGCTATCAAGGAGTTTGAATCCACTGGAATGTTGAGTCAAGTTTCTTGGAATGCCATCATAGATGCTTACATGAAATCAGGGGACACAGAGGAAGCGTTTAATGTATTTCAGCGGGCACCTGAGAAAAATGTTGTTTCGTGGACGTCTATGATTACAGGGTATGCAAGAAATTCAAAAGGAGAACAAGCTCTTAGCTTCTTTGTTGAAATGAAAAAGAATTGTTTATGTCCAGATGATTTCACATTTGGAGCTGTCCTTCATGCATGTTCAAGTTTGGCGGTAGTAGGGCTTGGTAGCATGGTTCATGGTTGTGTGATTCACTATGGTTTCCATGCTTATGTTTATGTTTGCAATGGCTTGGTTAACATGTATGCTAAGTGTGGGGATATTGAAGGGTCAATCCGTGCATTCAGTGAAATCCTGTATAAGGATTTGGTTTCCTGGAACGCGTTGTTATTTGGATTCGGGATGCATGGATTGGCTAGTGAAGCTTTACAGCTCTATGATCATATGATAGCATCTGGGACAAAACCAGACAAAGTTACTTTCATCGGACTGTTGATAACTTGTAGCCACGCGGGGCTTATAGAGAAAGGTAGTATGTTTTTTGAATCAATGGAGTCAGTTTATGGTCTTTCCTATGAAATGGATCATGTGGCATGCATGGTGGATATGCTCGGCCGAGGTGGATACTTGAAGGAAGCAGAAGAATTGGCAAAAAAGCTTTCGAATGCAGTTCGTAGTAAGACCAGTTCTAGTGAGGCTATGCTTGGAGCCTGTTATGTGCATGGGGATGTTGAACTTGGAACATATCTGGGAGAGGATTTGAAGACTTCAGAGCCTAAGAAGGAGACGAGCTTTGTTTTGCTGTCAAATTTGTATTGTGCAAGTGGTAAGTGGAAGGAAGCAGAGATGGTAAGGAAGGCTATGATGGATCAAGGGGTAAAGAAATTGCCTGGTTGTAGTTGGATTAGAGTGAAAAATGAAGTGGCGGCCTTTGTAGCTGGGAATAATTCTCATCCATCCATGGGAAAGATAAGTGAAATATTACACTACCTTGAATTTGAAATGAGAAATCCATGCTTTAATAGTTTTAAGAATTAAAAGAAATCAAATATTTTTACTGTCACAATGTCTTCATAGGAAACCATTTACAGGTTAGATTTGAAATCTTTGCTTGCTTAATACCAGTATGCCCAAATAACTTTATTTATCGCAGGTTTCTGGGGTTCACATTTCATTTCTGACCAAAAGGGCTCCCAGAGCCAAACAAACCTTACTAATGCAACAGCAGTAAATTGCTGACTGTCAAAGTAAGAAATTGACTTCAAAGAAGGCAAGCAGAGATAAGGAAAATGATGTTCTTCCCAACACATTTCCTTGAACCTCAAGCAAAAATGATATAATTAGGCTGAAGATTTGCATGGTAAATATTAATTATAGTTTCTATCTTAAATGTTATTACCATATATTGCTGAAAATGAGACATTTTCTATCATTAGTGTTCTGAAATGTGAGCTTCTTTTTGACAAAACAAAATTATAGAATATTGCACCCAGTTTTCTCCTTGATTTTTCCCGGGAGGGCCAAAACACCAAAGTGATAAAGATGATGGAAACCTCAAGGGGTTGGCCTAGCGATAAAAGAGGTTTGCTCATTTCTTTGAGTTCCTAAGTTTAAATCTTAGAGCCATCTACCACAATAACATTGTGACTTATCTGATCCTTTGAGATTGTAAAATGTTCAATGGACACCAAAAATTAGTTGAGGTGAACGCAAGCTAGTCTAGATACCCCGATTACCAAAAAAATAAAGATGCTGGTCCAAATCAAGCTTGCTTTGCATAATTTGATTTTCACTGTTGGGAAATCTTCTTGAATGCCGGAACAAGAATGGGATTTTATAGAAACTTAAACCATCTTTTTGATGAAGGCAAACACAGTATGATGTTGTCACTTCAGTTGTGCGTCTATTACCCTACAACATTGCATTGCATGCCAGCGCATGGTAGCCGCAAAGTTGAAATTTTGGCATAGCTTTAAAAGGATGACCTTGAAATAATTGATATCAGTAGCACCCTGCCCCAATCTATTCACTGACACTACCAAACAGAGGCAATCCATGCTGAAGATTGTTATGAGTGTCAATGTTTGCACTCCCCCAATAAGAAAAAATGTTGCCCTAAATGACAGCAAACTTTTTTGATTAGCAATGGAAAACAACAACTTATATTAGGTCATCTCCAACCCATGTTATTTTGGTGTAAAAAACACCAAAATAGCGTGAAAGAAGTGCTCCAATGTAGCGTCATGTCAAATTTGATGTAGCACTATTTATCCACACCAAATTGACATGGCACTGTTTATACAGTGAAATTTTTTTTTTGTTCCTTGTATTTAAATTAATTTGATTATTATTTATAATAATCAATTCATAATAATAATATAATTTAAAAAATGATGAAAAATTAAAAACAAAACTTTATTCAATGCAAATATTAAACTATAATAACTTAAAATAAAAATTAACACTAATTTAAAAACATTAAAATTAAAAGAAAATACAACATAAACTAAAATAACAATTTAGTATTCTTGTAGATTAGTTCCGGATATTCTAAGATCATCAAAATATTGGAAAGAATTAGAGTTATTTTGAGATCTTTGACCTTGTTATTGACATAAACTAAAATAATATTTTTAAATATTAAATGTAATGTTTATTTGATTAAATAAATGCTTAATTTTATTAAATTAGTATAATTTTCAAAGTAATTATTATTTAATAAAAATATCATTCCCAATTTTTAATTAATATATACAAAAATAATGAGTTAAATAGATATAATTTGTTGGTTATTACAATAAAAGAAAAGGAAAGAGAATATTATAAAAAATATTATTTTGGTGTAATATTTGGTGCAATGGGTTAGAGATGCAATAGTATTTCACACAAAAAATCACACCAATTTGGTGTGAAACTTGCACCAATTTGGTGCAATGGGTTGGAGATGGTCTTACTATCGAGAGAGTTAGTTTAAGCACTATTTTAAAACCCGAACCGGACCGGCTGGTCGGATTGGGACCCGTTAGCTTCTTCGGTCTGATTCAGGTTTTACCGTTTTAGGGGGTTTTTTTATAATATTTCAAATTTTATAGGGACTACTTTGTGATTTTTTAGGGGTGTTTTGGAGCTATGTCAAAAGTTTAGGGTTAATTGATAATTTTTTAGGGGTATTTTTGAAATAAATAAAAATTTTAAGGACTACTTTGAAAATTTTAGGGGAATTTTTGTTATATACTAAAATTTAAGAGATTAATAATAATTTAAAAAAAATAAAATTACTACTGATGTCACCAGTCCAACCGATTGAACTGGTCGATCCGTGATCCGATCACCTTACCGGATCTTACAACGGGTTGGGTTTTAAAATAATGACTTTGAGTGGAAAACAACTACCCAGAGGGCTGTTATGATTTTAGGTTTCATATATAATAATTACACTACAATGGGCAAATCAACTGAACTTTAGTTGTTTGTTTATTAATTATAAAACACTTTTGTTTGAGAGGTAAACGAAACAAGTGAATCCTAACAACCACTGAGTGACTTGATGATAAAAGAGTAGAAAGAGGTTTAATAAAACTCTTGAGTTCAAGTTCCCATAAACACTAATAAGAGTGGTCACTAAGACTCTTATCTGGTCACTAGTTTCAGAACCCCGATGGATTAATTGAGATGTACAAAAGCCGGACCGGTCCTGACACTCTCGATGATATAAAGAAAAAAAAAACATCAACAACAAAGGAATCCTCCCAAATTTTATTTCCATTCATATCAAATAATAAAGGAGATGGGGCCATAATAAAAATAAATAAATTAAAAAAAATCAGATGGTGATGGATTTTACAGCTTTTGAGATGTATTGATATAAATAATTTGTTCCTACTGTATACNTGATTAAATAAATGCTTAATTTTATTAAATTAGTATAATTTTCAAAGTAATTATTATTTAATAAAAATATCATTCCCAATCTTTAATTAATATATACAAAAACAATGAGTGAAATAAATTAATCGTTGGTTATTACAATAAAAGAAAAAGAAAGAGAATATTCTAAAGAATATTCTTTTTGGTGTAATATTTGGTGCAATAGGTTGGAGATGCAATAGTATTTCATACAAAAAATCACACCAATTTGGTGCAATGGGTTAGAGATGGTCTTACTATCGAGAGAGTTAGTTTGAGCACTATTTTAAAACTCGGACTGGACCGACCGGTTGGATCAGGACCCGTCAGCTTCTTCAGTCCGGTTCAGGTTCTAGGGGGTTTTTTATAATATTTCAAATTTTATAGGGACTACTTGGTAATTTTCTAGGGGTGTTTTGGAGCTATGTCAAAAGTTTAGGGTTAACTGGTAATTTTTTGGGGGTATTTTTGAAATAAATAAAAATTTTAAGGACTAATGAAATTTTAGGGGTGCTTTGTTATATACTAAAATTTCAGGGATTAATTTATAATTTTTTAAAAATAAAATTACTGCTGATGTCACCGGTCCAACCGATTGAACTGGTCAACCCTTGACCGATACCCGGAGGCCTGTTATGATTTTAGGTTTCATATATAATAATTTCACTACAATGGGTAAATCTAATGACCCACAATTTGACAATAGCAAATCAACTGAATTTTAGTTGTTTGTTTATTAATTATAAAACACTTTTGTTTGAGAGGTAAATGAAACAAAGGAATCCTAACAACCACTGAGTGATATGATGGTAAAATAGTAGAAAGAGGTTTAATAAAACTGCTCAGTTTAAGTCCTCACAGACACTAATAAGAGTGATCACTAGGACTCTTATCCGACCGTTAGTTTTAGAGCTCCAAGGGATTAATTGAGATGCACATAAATTGGAAAGGTCCGAACTGAACGAAATAGAGGCAACAACAGGAACAAAATATAACAGTAAAACAAATCAAACAGTAAATAAATAAAATAACACGCGCAATTTAGCCTGATTCACCTAATGTGGACTACGTCCAGTTGAGTTAATATTATTACAATATGCCTCACCTCTCTCGTTTACAATGAATGAATTGCCCTATGATTTGCTATCACCACCATAACAAAAGAAAAATATGTTTATATACTAGGTTTAAGAGACTAAACCTAGTTTTACAACGATTCATATTCCTAAGCCCAACCCAATAAGGAATTAGTAACTTAAAAGAAATCTTACAGCGGTTATACATAGAAAAGCCTAAAACCGCTTACGGGCTCGGGAGCGCTACCCTCGCAACCCCCGTCCACTCACCAGGCAACGACACCCCCGAATGCATCTACGTTATCCATTAATGCTGAAATAGACAACAACTCCAACGAGAACACTCCTTCGGTGATATAAAGATAAAAAAAAAACATCAACAACAAAGGAATCCTTCCAAATTTTATTTCCATTCATATCAAATAATAAAGGAGATGGGGCCATAATTTGAAAAAAAAAAAATCAGATGGTGATGGATTTTTACAGCTTTTGAGATGTATTGATATAAATAATTTGTTCCTACTGTACACCATCAGACTTTCAGTACCAAATTAATTACGACACAGTTTGTGCATCAACTGGTATGGGGCATAGCGACTGCTTTGACCTCTCTTTAACTTTTGTGTCCTTCTTCTCCCTTTTCAGTTTCTTTGTGATTCTCCTTCTTCTTCTCTTTCTCCTCACTCTCTTTAGGGATTGTTATTCGCCATAGTGCAAGAATAAAGCTGGAGTTTGACGTTGAAAAGCTGAAATAATCGAGTGAGTTGCCGTGGAAAGCTCATGAACTGACCCAAAATCAGTTCCAGTCACTCCAAGTTCTTTCTTTATCACGATGTGGTGAGTATTTTCAGCTACTCAGAAGAAATTCTTGGTGGGATTGTTCAAAGAAAAAGTTTTCATTTTCTAATGCAACAACTTGTGATTTTTATGGATTTTTTTCTTCTTCTCTCGTTTTCTTGTTTCAACTCCATTTGTTTTTGAGTTTTAAGTTAAAAGGTTATGCTTTACAGCTTATTTAGTTTTGGTAAATGTTTAAATTTAGTTAGAATTATATAATAAGAAATTTAAATTA